AACAAATTGAACTTTAAAAAAGCTTACTTTGGCCACACTTGAGTTGGCATGAAGAATTAATATACCAAAGTCCCAGCCATAGAGAAAACTTGCACTTACTCACCTATTATTCCCCAACACCCTTGCTGAAAACAGAGATATACACTAAAAACCAGATACAGAGCAGGAATTCAGAGATATCCTTCCTGAAGCATGCTGGCCCTTTCCTTTGTGCAAAGCAATGGCCCACTGAAGTCCTGGGGTGAGACAGAAAAGACAACTGCATTTCCTCCCACTGTGGGTCTTCATGCAGTATAAACCTGCAGCTCCTTAAAGGGCGCTGCAATGAACCTCTGTGGCACTCTTTGCCTTCACTGAAGTGGCCTTTGAAGGCAAGGCAATGGGACAGAAGACATCTGAGTTGAAGAAACAGAATACAGAAGACTAGCAGGTGGCATGGTAGTTGGGGCGCTGGATTCCAACATGGCTGACTGTGGTTTAGGTCCTGGAACTGGCGGCTTACTTTCTCACTTTCTTTCTCAACCTTTCTTTCTCTCTCTCTCTGGTGAGCACACATACCCTATAGCAATTTTTAAGATAAACAATAATAATAAATAAAATTTTTCTTAAAAAAAAAAGAGTAATACAAGACATAGGGTTGAATAGCAAACAGCACTCCTTAGTAATCTAAAAATCTGACAACTATACAGTAAAGAGAGATTGCCCATAGTTTTCCATGTTTATGAAGCTAGAGTTAGAAAAGGAACTTAAGTAAATAAAAATAAAGAAATATTAATGTTTAGAAATTAATGAAATAACCAGCGGACAAACAATAGAGCAAATCAACAGTCAAAAGGTATTTCTTGTAAAGTTACTATCAATAGTAAGCCCCTAGTAAGAGTGATTAAAATAAGGGTCCAGCAGATGGCATAATGATTACATTGCTGGACTATGACATGGCTGACAATGGTTCAAGCCTCAGACCCAGAGGCTTGAAATACATCAGTGGTGTGTGTGTGTGTGTGTGTGTGTGTGTGTGTGTGTGTGTATGCCCAAACTCCTGAGAGGAGAATGGAAGAGAAGGAATTGCGATATGACCATCCACCTCGCGGGGGGGGGAGGTGATTTCTCACCTTTCTGTCTGTCTCTCCAGCAAGTACATGCACCCTATAGCAAAGATCTCTCTAAAAAGAAGTACAAATTTCCAGTATCAAGATAAAGAGAATATAACTACAGCCTCTATAAAAACTATATGATGAAAAAAGGGCAGTAAATTTATAGATGAAATGAACCTATTCTCTTAAAGTAAAACAAAACTGTAAAGTTCTTAGAAAAAATATGGATTATCTTCACAATGTTGGAGTAGACCAAAATTTCTAAGACACAGCAAACACTAACCACTACAAATGAATAGGTAATAAATAGATTAGATGTTACTAAAACTGCTGCCAGCCAAAAGTTAGCAATGAGAAAATGACTAAGCAAATACACTGACAAAAAGTATTCATATATCTGCAATATAAAGGACTTTTTTTTTTTTTTTACAGAGATTTTTGCTATAGGGCATGAGTGCTCACCAGAGACAGAGAGAGACAGAAAGCAAGAAACCACCCCTGGAGGGATGGCCATGCTGCAATCCCTTCTCCTCTGTTCTCCTCTAGAGATTTTGGGCACACACACATGCACACACACCCAGTGTGAAGTTTAAGCCACCGGATCTAGGACTTGAACCACAGCTGACTACATGGGAGTCCAGCAATGTAATAGTTATGCCATCAGGTGGTCCCTATATTGATTTTATAAATCAATAATGAAAAGGCAAAAAATGCAATTTTTTAAGTGGTTAAATGATGTTAACAGATATTTTACCAAAAGAGATATATAAATGAATAGTAAGAACAGGACAGTATTAACATCTTTTTTTTCTTTTTTTTTTTTGGAGAGGTTTTTGCTATAGGGCACATGCACTCGCCAGAAAGACAGAGAGAAACAGAGAGACAGAAAGAAATCACCCCCCAGGGGGATGGCCATGCTGCAATCCCTTCTCCTCCATTCTCCTCTCAGGATCTTGGGCACGCACGCACACGCGCCCGATGTGTTTAAGCCACCGGGTCCGGGACTCAAACCGCAGTCTACTACATGGGAGTCCAGCGATATAGCCATTACGCTAACTGCTGGTCCCAGTATTAATATCTTAAACATTCCACTAAGTCTTGGGCTACAACAGAATCTAATTCTTTGCAACATTTAGCAAAGATGACTTCCAATTTCTGATAAGATATTCTTCATTTGCATCTGAGGCCTTATTGGAATGACTATTACTGTCCACATTTCTATCAGCATTCTGGTCAACGCTATTTAACCAATATCTAAGAAGTTCCAAACTTTCCCTAGTCTTCTCATTTTCTGACCCTCTACCAAAAATAATACTTTTTCTAGCATGCTTCTTTAAATTCTTCACTCTCTGCTTATTACCCAGTTCCAAATCCAGTTTCACACTTTTAGGTATTTGTTATTAAAAAACAGCACCAATTCTCAGGTACCAATTTTCTGTTCTAATCTGTTACATCGCTAATAACAGACATTTCTGTTTTGTGAGTTACTTAAGAGACTAGAGACTTACTTGGTTCACAGTTTTAGAGAGAGTGAAGACCCTCTGGTGAGGGTCTTCTTATTGGCAGAGTCCTGAGGCAGCACAAGGAATCACAAGGTATCACATGTGAAAAACAGCACATGTAGAACAGGGCATTTTTGTAGGTGTCTTTGTTGGTTTCATTCCATCTTTTTATAATCCATCAGTTTTTCAGGTAGAAACCCCACCTGGATAACCTTATATAATCCTCAACGCCTCTCAAAGGCTCCGCCTCTTAAATACTCTTTTTTTTTTAACTTTATTTATTTATTTTAATATGTCCAGAGAGAGCGAGGGAGAGAGAAAGTGAGAACACAAGATGCCAGGTCGGGGACTCAAACCATGGTCGGCCATGTGGGAGTCCAGTTCCCTTAACAACCACGCTACCTGCCAGCCCCAAGGCTCCATCTCTTAATCCCCTACTCAGGTTAAGTTTCCTTTTAATACCTATACAATAAGATCAAAATCCAAAACATAAACTTTTGGGGGATACATTCGAACTGTAGAAGCAGAATAAAGGCCTCTGAAAACTCATTCTTTCACAAAAAAAAAAAAAAAAAAAAAAAAAAAAAAAGAGAGAACACTGGCCAAAATTATCAAAATTGACTTTTTCAGAACCCTGGAAATGAACAAAAGATTTTCAACAATTAGACAAACATGTATTCAAGAAAAAAGGATCTTGTTAAGAACAGTCAACTTCATAGTATTTTAACTTGCCTTAATCCCATGTACATCTTCCCAGCTGTATGACTGTCTTGAAAACCAACTACACATAATCACAGAGATAATCAATAGCCATTAAAGGACAGAATAGGGCTAGAGTGTCCCCAAAAGTCCATTCTCCAAAGAATTGTCCCTACTTGACCAATCTGTCAGATCCTTAAAATGTTCCATTCTCAAAATTCCTCTTTACTCGACCAATTCAGGACCCACTGTATATAAACAACCTTACCAATAGGGCATTTATGAAAAACAAAAACAAAATCCACCATTATTTAGCTATCCGAGGCAATAAAACCAACTAACCATAATAAGAGGATGACCAAAAAACTTAAAAGAAAAAAGCAGAGAAGAGTGTTTGTAAGAGGCTTTGAAAAGTTTCAGTATATGCCTGAGAATCTATCTAGGTCATGTACATGTCCAAGAAAGTCCTGAGAAGGGTCTAATCTCTCACCTCTGGCTGACCTTGAGGAAATAAGGGTAAGACACAATTGTAAGCTACCTGCGGAGTAATGGAATCCTGACTACATGCGCCAGTGCCCCCAGCCAACACTGAGACGTAATGGCTTCAAAACATTTAAGAAATCTCTATCCAAGTATGCTACAAGATTACTACGCAAGAGTATAGTATGTTATACTCCAAGGTATGTTACAAGATTACAAGATTACTATAAAAGTTTAAAATTTTAAAGTGCTCATTTTTGAGTATCTCTCCAGAAATCTTTTATAGTTTTCTTTTTATGGGAAGTAATCCAGCCAAACACTCAGAATGTGTTTTTTTTTTCCTTAAAGTGATGTTTTTCCAGACAAACTCTAGAGTGAACATTCACATAGTCACACTGATGGTCAAGGGTAAAATCGTACACAACTGCTTTGGAGAACTGTTAGGTAGTATTATGAAGTTAAGGTATCTATTCTCTGATATTTCAATTCAACTCCTAGTTGTTTTATATTTAAGAGGTGTAAAAATTTATTACAACAAGACGTGTACAGGACTTTATTCACAACAGTATAAAAACAGAAGCCAGTCAAATGTCCACCAATAGAATGGGTATACAAAGAGCAGTATATAGATAAAAAGCTATACTATTTTAAAGCAATATTATTAAAAAATAAATCAATGGGTGCATTAAAATGAATGAGCCTCCAATTTACCTTCTTGATGGAAAGAAGTCAGACACACACACACTCATACCGTATGACCCTACTTATATAAAGTTGGAGATCAGGCAAAGCTATGCTTGTTCATAGCAGAAAAGAGAAGAGTGGTTTCCTGACCAGGGTAAAGTAGAAGGAGCACACAAATGGAAGTAATTTGGGTGGTTATATGGGCTTATAAAATTGTCAAACTAACCAGAATGAACACTTAAGATCTGTGTATTTTACTATATGTAAATGTTATCCCAAGTGGAAAAGTACTATGTGAGAAACGCAAACATTGCTACTGGAATATTAATGGATGAAGTGGTAATAGCCTGGCATAGGTTTTCGATTGTCTAGAAGAATAAGTGGAGATCAGGTAAAAAGAGACTGGCAACCGATAAAAGTTGAAGCTTGATGACGAATACACTGAGTTGATGCTGTTCTCTCTACTTTTGCATAAGTTTGAAAAACCCCATAATTTAACAGTTAAAAGTTATTTATACATAAATAAGCGAACAATACTTACTGTAGTTCTGGGGCACAAGTTCTGGATTCTTAGGAGCTTTCAATTTGTACGATACATCTCCGATATTAACTGTGTCACCTAAAAAAGGAAATAAACAGAACCATTACAAGAGGGAAGTGAGAAAACCACCCTCTATGCCAGTGGCAGTGATGATCATCTAACCTACAGAGAGGGATAACCCAGTTCGTACCACACATTTGTCTATGCCAGGCGCCATGCTCCCACCTCACAGCCACGGTACACAGTAGATACAGGCAAAATGAGGCATCAGTAAAATTCACATTTTAAATGCTAAGTTAGCAAAACACATGAGGCACAATAAACATATTAGCCCGCCCTATTTTTTCATTAACAGCAATGCTAAGATAGGCTACAACAAAACAGAATACATTTTAAGATCATCCGAAGCATCAATAGTATGAAATCTTTAATGCTTACGCTCAATCATTTGCATTCTTTACACATCCTCATGAGAAAGTTAATAAATCTGTGAAAAGAGTTTTTAATAGATGAAGAAATGTATTACAAGGATATGGTAAACTGAGAGAGGAAGATGAAGACTACATTCAAAGCTAAATTCTTGCTACATCCAAAATCAGCAGACAGAAGGCAAGGTGAAACACACAAGTCCCTAAGGGCTAAAAAATCCATAAACTATGAAGTCTCCTTCCTTCTCCTACCAAGCAACTCTTTGTCTTCAATCAGCAATCATAAAAATTGCCAAAGTACCAACATCACCTGGGAGCTTGACAGAAATGAAAAATTTCAAGCCCTGACAACATCTACTAAATCAGAAACTTTGAAGTACTGTCCAGTAATCTGTGATTCAAAAAGCTTTCCAGGTGATTTCTACTGTGAGATTGATCAACCCTGGCCTTTTAGGTTCTAATAGCCTCATACCAAGTGACCAGCAGGGTCTCATTGCCTTAATTATTTGCAGGGATTGTCTGACTGATCACACTACCCTATTTTCAACGAAAGAAAGAAAATATCAACTAGTTACTTTCTAACTAGATTTCCTTTAAAATGATAAGCATGCTTACAAGTATAAGTTCTTTGGCTTCCTGAGAAGACTGTAATTATTTGACCTACAGACAAAATGGATGCCAAGTAGTTAAACTGAACATAAGAACATTTTCAGACACCCGTTTTCATTACAAGCCTTGTGTTAAATCTGATTGATATCCTTCTAATAATCAACCTAGGAAAAGAACAATCACACAAATTTATGAGAACTTGACAGTTGGCTAGTTATTTGTTAAAAAAATAAATTAAGGTAAGATTCCCACCTCATGCTTCGATCAAAAATAAATTCAAAATGTACTCAAGATCTAAATATTGAAAACAAAAATATAAAAGCCTTAGAACCGTATGAGAATGGGCAGCAGGTGGCATGGAGGTTAAGGTGCTAGGTAGAGCATGGCAAGCTGTGTGGTGTGAGTCCCGAACCTGGCAGCTTGAATATCACACCGGGCGCGTGTGCCTGTGTGCCCAAAGTCCCAAGAGGAGAATGGAGCAGAAGGGATTGTGGCAAGGCCATCCTGCCTGGGGGGTGATTTCTCTTGCCCTCTTTCTATAGGTCTTTCTGGCAATCCCACATACCACACAGCAAAAAAAAAAAAAAAAGAAAGAAAGAATAAATAAATAAACTATGAGAGCATATCATAACCTTGAGAAAGACTTCTCAAATAAGATGCAAAAAAAAAAAAAACCACACAAAATATTTTATAACCATAACACTTTACTATATAGTGCCAGCAGTTGGCATGGTGGTGAAGGCACTGGACTCCCATATAGACAACTGTAGTTCCAGCTCTAATTTGGTGGCTTGCTTTCTCCCTCTCTGGTAAGCGTTTGTGCCCTATAGCAAATTAAAATAATAATAATAAATAAAATTAAATAATTATTTTTAAAAACTTTAGTACATAATAAAGATACCATAAACAAAACATGACAAAATTATGATTCAGAATAAAGAATTCCTACAAATTAATAAGAAAAAGATAAATGACCTAATAGGAAAATGGACTATGGTCCAGCCACAGTACCTGCGCTCTGAGGCTGAGATCACATGGGAGGCCTGGATTTAATTCCTAGTTCAACATAAAGGCTAAAGGTGAGGTGCAGGGGCAAGCATCTATAATCTTAGTGACTCAAGTAGGCTGAGGCAGGAGGACAGTGAGCTCGAGGCTGACTTGGGCAACACAGCAAGCTCCTTTCTAAAGATCAAACTAGGACATCCCCCAAGATGGCGGAGAGAGAGTGAGAAAACTGTGTTCACCCTTAGGTTTCTCTCGGGTCAAATTCCATTCTGATAGAAAAATGCAGTATTCACACCACTGCGAGCACCTTTTAGAGAGACTGAACAAACGAGAAGCAGGTTTTCTCTGTGACTGCAACATAGTGATTGGGGAATTCCAGTTTAAAGCTCATAGGAATGTGCTTGCCTCGTTTAGTGAAAATTTTGGCACGATCTACAGAAGCACTTCTGAGAACAATGTCTTTCTTGATCAGAGTCAGGTAAAGGCTGATGGACTTCAGAAATTGTTGGAGTTTATATACACAGGAACTTTAAATCTTGACAGAAATATCTAACATTACCGGAAACATTGAATCGAATCAACGGACTTGTCTTCTTACTCTACGAGATTATAAGAGTCGGGAGAAATCAGAAGTATCTACAGACTTAGTTCAGGCAAGTCCTAAACAAGGGGGCTTAACAAAGAAATCATCGCAAACTAAAAAGAAGAAAAAGGCTTTCAGCTCTCAGAAAGCAGGGCAGAATAAAACCGTGCAATATCCCAGTGACATTTTAGAGAATACATCTGTGGAATTATTCCTAGATGCAAATAAATTGTCTGCATCCATAGTCGAACTGGGTACACAGAGAACTGATAATGCAGAACTTGAGTTGACATCAGTTGTGGAAAATACTTTCCCAGTACAAGATAGCATACCAGCCATCACAGTGACACAGAAGCGTGGAAAATCACAGCCAAACTGCTTTGAAAGAACACTCTATGTCTAATATAGCCAGTGTTAAGAGTCCATATGAGCTGGAGAACTCTGGGGAAGAGCTGGATCAGAGGTTTTCCAAAGCCAAGCTCGTGTGTAACACGTGTGGGAAAGTGTTTTCAGAAGCCAGCAGCTTGAGAAGGCACATGAGAATACATAAAGGAGTCAAACCTTATGTCTGCCACTTGTGTGGAAAGGCATTTACCCAGTGTAATCAGCTGAAAACGCATGTGAGAACTCACACAGGTGAGAAGCCATACAAATGTGAATTGTGTGATAAAGGATTTGCTCAGAAATGCCAGCTAGTCTTCCACAGTTGCGTGCATCATGGTGAGGAAAAGCCCTATAAATGTAATGTGTGCAATTTACAGTTTGCAACTTCTAGCAATCTCAAGATTCATGCAAGGAAGCACAGTGGAGAGAAGCCTTACGTCTGTGATAGATGGGCAGAGATTTGCCCAAGCCAGCACACCGACCTATCACATCCGTAGGCATACTGGAGAAAAGCCTTATGTGTGTGATACCTGTGGGAAGGCTTTTGCTGTCTCTAGTTCTCTTATCACTCATTCTCGAAAACATACAGGTGAAAAACCATACATATGTGGTGTTTGTGGGAAAAGTTTTTATTTCCTCAGGAGAGCTCAACAAACACTTTCGATCCCATACAGGAGAAAGGCCATTTATCTGTGAATTATGTGGAAATTCTTACACAGATATAAAAATTTTAAAAAAGCACAAAAATGAAAGTCCATTCTGGTGCAGATAAAACTCTAGACTCCAGTGTAGAGGATCACACTTGGAATGAACAAGATTCCACACAAAAAAGCCCTTTATCAGAAACGATGGATGTGAAGCCTTCTGATATGACTTTGCCACTGGCTCTTCCACTTGGGACTGAGGACCACCACCACATGCTCCTGCCTGTGGCAGATAATCAGTCTCCTACATCCGATGCACTGTTGAGGTCAGCTGTGAATGGGTATTCAGAACCACAGTTGATTTTTTTTTACAACAATTATACTGACTTTGTGAAAAATAATTGTTCAGACCTGTCGGGCAGTGAGCATAAATAACCCTGGGAGGGTGCGTATGTTCATATTAAACCCCATTCATCTGGAAAAAAAAAAAACAAACAAACTAAACCTGCCTAACACTTGTTTTTCCATGTCTTACATATTTCCATCAAAAGTGATGAGATGCTGGGACCAGCAGTTAGCATAATGGCTGTCGCTGGACTCCCATGTAGTCGACCATGGTTCGCGTCCCGGACTCGATGGCTTAAAAACTCACACCGGGTGCGAGTGCGTGCGTGCCCAAGTTCCCGAGAGGAGAACGAAGGAGAAGGGATTGCAGCGTGGCCATCCCCCCTGGGGGGAGATTTCTCACTTTCGGTCTCTCTGTCTCTCTCTGTCTGGCGAGCGCATGTGCCCTATAGCAAAAACCTCTTCAAAAAAAAAGTGATGAGATGCTTTAAGACTGACTAGAGTTGTTCTTTGCTGTGTCAAATATAGTAGTACATTGGAGAGTGGTTAAGAGTGAATATTCTCAAAAAAGCAAGGGGGAAAAAAAAGCTCAGAGAGCAAAGTAAAGAAAGTATCAAAGCTTTAAAGTAAGCTAACTGTTCAACTTGACTCAGTTTTTATTGCTAAATTAAATAAAAAATAATGATAACTCTGAATCTCTGAAGCAATATACATTTTGATGCTGATCCATTTTAATGTACCCAAAATGATTTTTAGTACTTCCAAAATTTTCACAATACTATGGTTAAATATCATAGAGAATATTTCTTTCAGATCAAATCTCTATCTCTCAATAGGTAGTTGAAAACATTCTCAATACTGTCATGAAATATTTATTCCAACAACAGTCATTTTTCAACTTATAAACTGCCTTCTATTTTCAAACTCGTGTTATGAACAAATTATATGTATGTACTTGCTTCTGAACCAATTCGTTTTGTGTCACTAAATGCAATGTAAAAAGTTTGATCATGAGATCTATAGAAATTAAATTTCCTCTTTAAAAAAAAAAATGTTGGAGTTGGGATCAGCAGTTAGCGT